TTTTATTATTTTGTTTGTTTGTGCTGGAACTCACACTTTTCCCACTCAAAAAAATTTGATATTTCAACATATTTGCTGAATCCCATCACAATTTAGAGACAATTAATATGCAATGATCGGAAAATAATTGAAAGAGCAAAGCCCGGACTACGCTGAAGAGTATGTTGCTAGAAGATTTTGCATCATTCTTTACTCTGTGACATCATATTGTAATTTTTAATCATTTCAAGTTTTGCATCATTCTTTACCCTGTGACATCATATTGTAATTTTTAATCATTTCAAGCCAGATTTTTCTTGAATGTAATTAGGGTAAAAATAATATTTAATTATACTTAGTGAATGTAATTATATGATTTCAAATAGAAGAATAAAAAAGTGTTAGCACAATAGATGGCATTTTTAATTATTTTTGGCACTTTTAGTTGAATTGTTTTAAGTTATATGATATATAATTTCAAATAATGTTTGTTTGATTATCTACAAAACGGAATAGACAACCAAACACAACATTACTTAGGAAAGGAACATTGTTGATAACCAAAGTAAGCATTAATTTGAAATATAAAAAAATAAACATTTTTTCTTAATTAGTCATGCCTTAATACATCGCATTCCATTCTCTGAAATGAGATCTGTTTTTCCTTCAGATCAAAGGCAATATACAAAAACTGTTGCATGTGGGTCCCGAGAATGGTGTATCCTCCGTGCCCCTCATTTTCAACCGCCGAAAGACAGAAATGACCATTCCCAACGTCCCTGAACATGTTTTCAGCCGTGAGCTCAAGCACAGCACCTCCTTGGAACTTCAATTCCACTACAGGGAACCCCACCAAGTCCCTTCTCACACTCCCTACGTAGCACAACACTGTGGACGAATCGTATGTGTAGTAGATCTTTGTCAGCTTGCCCCCAATCACTTCCTCAATTCTAGTCTCTAGCTTCCGGACGGCCTGCCGGGGGAGGAAGGTGAAGGTACTGCCACAGTCTACAATCATCATGTGGGAGCCGAATCCATTGACGGGTCGACCTCCAACCGCGATATCCTCGAGGCGGATGTTGTAATGGTAGTCGATGTAGAGGGGTGTTTGAGAGCCGTGGAGGCCGATCTCATCACCGTCGCCTATAATTAATAAGTTGTAAGGGTACGCGGGGTCGGTGATGTTCCCGAGGCAGTAGGCGAAGCGTGAGTACCCCATTTGCGAGACGAGGGAGTCACGGTAGTTGATGAGGCCGAGGATGCCGTTGATATCTGTCAGACTCCCGTTAATGTCGCAGCCGAATGTGATGTTCTCGAGGGAGAAGGGCTCGTCATCGTCCTCGTTGTCGAGGGAATGGAACTGGAATCTGTCCCGGGCGAGGTAACCACTGCTGGTTCCGCTGCCGTATTCAAGTGTGTACCAACACTCGTTGTCTCGGCAATTGACATGTTGGAGATCAGGACATGCACTGGTCGGGTTATTGCACATGATCTCCTTGCGGAATGTGGGGGAGGCGCTCGGGTTGAAGAACTTATCGGAGTCGAACGATCTGCAGTGGACCCACATCAGGCTAGAGCCCGAGTCGACTATGATTGACAGAAGCGGTGGGTCAGGACCAGTGCCGACACGCACTAGAGTGTTATAAGCACTTCCTGCGGAATAAAGCGAGGCCTCGATATTTGATTTCGTTCTGATGATGTCGCTGCTGGCAGCGAGGTAGGAGGACCGGGACACAGAATGGTCCCAGTCGAGACGGAAGGCTTCTTCCGGGGATATATTTGGCATATTGGATAAGTAGTGCACTAATTTAAGCACATGATGACGGGCAGTTGGAGGATTAGAAGAAGAAGAAGAAGAAGGAGAAGAGAGGCCGATGAGGATCATCAACGCGATTAAAAAAAAGGGTGACATCTTGTATGTATGGAATAAAAGCTATTGTTTGTTTGTGCAACGATTAACTTCAATATGTTTTATTAAAATTCTGATCGTCTAATTCTATATATATATAATCCACACCTATTCCTAATTAACCCACACTTTTATTCAACACTACCTACTCCTAACCCACACTCTTATTCAATTACTCCTAACTAACCCACACTCTTTGAATGATTCAACCTACTCCTAACCCACACTCTTATTCAATTACTCCTAACTAACCCAACTCTTGAGTCTGATTGTTGTTATGGAGATTGCGATTTTGATTTCGTTTTACCGAGCAGAGCCATGAATACTTTGAGTGAAAGTGACTTTTTTTTTTTCTTCATTTTGTTATATTTGTCTAGGGTCTCTTTTTGTCGGATAATTATATTGAAATCTGTAGAGGCCCATGAATGATGTTGTTCTGAAACTGAAGCAGCGTAGGATTTGGCTGTTAACATTTGTAAACAGATACATTTGTTGGCAAAATGTTGAAAATATTGCAATTTTTATGGCAGTTATTGATGGGGGAGCTTGGGAAAAGTTAAGGAGTGAATGAAATGTTGAATTTCTATACATTTTCTTGGGGTACCTTAGATTAGTTCAACATAAAGTTAATGTCTTTAGGATTTGCAGCTGATATTTGTTACAAGAAAGAAATATAAGCAATAGCTTGCTTCCTTATTGTGGGTTCTTTTTATGCTGCAGACAGCTTGAACACTGAAAAGCACTGAAATTGGGGCTCTTCTTGTGCAATGACATCTACAATGGGTGCTTTTTGCCCTGTCATATGGCAATATATCATGGGAGTGTGTTGTAAAAACATTGAGTGAAAGTGACTTTTTTTTTTCTTCATTTTTTAGATATATGAAATATAAAAATCCACAGTTCAATAAATAACAATTGAGATAAATAATGCAAGTAGTAGTTCTCTTACACAGATGTGTGGTGGTGAGGATAATTAAGTAAATCAAAGCTGAGGGGGACTAGGGACTATGCATGATAAATTTTCATTGTTTGTTTTTTTAAGATTAACTCCAAAATACCATAACGAATATCTAATTTAACTATACATTTCAAAAAATGAAAACATTACTCTCTAATGAAGACATGTGATATTTCAACGTAATCTGAGTTTCATATTTTCATTGTATATTATTGTCTTATATTTTGTTTCATGTGACATTGTTTTCCTAAAATAGAATTCTCAGTATATTGTCCTTATTCGAATTGTCAATTTAACATGTACATTTTAGGAAGTATGGATCGTAAGTGGATAAATGCTATGCGCACAAGTATTGAATATGAGAATGGAGTGGAAGACTTTTTGGAGTTTGCTAAGCGACATGAATCTGAAAGTATAGAAATTATACTACAAGCAACCATGTGTTGATACTAAGAGGTTTTATGAACAAGCACAACTGGTCCTCATTTTTGCTGCTATAGTTGTCTTTGTTTGGTTTTATGTTGGTACTTAAATAAGCTAATTAACTTTAATGCTGGTTTTCAGAATTTTTTCCTTTATTTATTTGTTGGTCCATCACTATCTGTTCACTTATGATTCCGCTCATTATTTTTGTAGTGGATATTGTGTTTACACAATGTTACAATGGATGGGTGGATCAAGGCGGAAAGTGACAACAATATGTTATGTGTTAACTTCCTTCCACCTTAAACTATCCATGTGAGAGAGCATCCACCAATTTATAATAGAAGACATTTTTTAGTGTTCATTTCTTTCTCCTCCAAGAAATGTTCATCTGTTTGTGGTACTGAAATAATTATTGATGCATTTATTTCTGACTTTGAAGCCCCTCCCTCTTTTAGGGAAAAAAAAAACATACAGAAAGATGTCTTTACCGGTTATTCCATGTTATTTTGATTTCTAAAGTTGGCATCATGATCATTGATCCCACTCCATTCGTGATACTTGAAATTTTTCAGTTTCAAAATTTTCTTATTTGGATGTAAAATCATCTTGCTTTTATGTTTTGTACGTCATGGCATTTCATTTCCCTGGGGATGGGGATGGTCACTCGCAGTCAAGAACATCAACTCATAAAAGGTATAAAACATATTTCTACTTTGTCCTCAGATGACTTCGCTCAACTTTTCTTCATCCCTATCTTTGGGTCAGTTCTTGTCATTTTCAATATTAGAAGGGGCTAATATTACTTGCCAAGGAATCCAAGCAAAAACAATATTTCGAGCAAAGGAAACAACATCACCAGCACCACACAACTGGCTTTGAGAGCTATGCTGATGGAAGACGCTCATACACAGAAAATAACAGATCGCTTGATATACTTAGCCTGGCAAATGTATCAGCTGCAGATCAAGAACTCGCAGCCAGTCGCGTCAATGGTAAATTTCAACTTTTGAAATTTAGAAATGCCGAAAGTTTCTTAGATACTCTCATTCACCCAGGTGTATGGGGGTTCCCCGAGATGAATGTCCTTATTATTCTTCATATAGTTAATATTGTATTGTATAAACATGTACTAAATATACATGCAGCCAGCTGGTTCACTTGGTCAGACTTGAACATAATGAAATTGTAGATAACTTTTGCTACATCCTCATCAGTTGATTTTAATTTTATTTAAGCTAGAAATTTAGTAAGCTCAGGCTTCTGAGTTAAAATTAAGTTAAATGAGTCAGAATAAACCAACTTTCATCATTCATTTCTATTGCAAACATCTATCCCTTTCAGCTCAGCACTTGCAAATGTATCTATTATTCTGCAACTATTGCTAGTTTAAACATGTACCTACATGAATAAGGCCTGGACCGTTCTGTATTAGTAAGTTCTAGGATACACTAATGCTTAAACTATACTTTTCTGTTTACTAACAACTTTGATTTGATAAGGTAATTGTAAACAAAAATAATTTGTATCAAGCACTATTATACTTTCAAGTAAATAATTTGTTCTATCTTTTCGTCTTGATAATATGTTATAATTATTTTTTCAAATTGCAGGTGTTTAATTTGGACGAACCCTTCTCGAGTGATGATATTAATGATGTAATGAGACGTTGGACTCAGCATTTTCTTGATATAACTTCATTAGTGAAGTAGGATAAGATTATACTTTTGTCATACAGGCTTTGTAGTTTGTTGAACATGTGGTGTGAAACTATTTGTCACTTGGTATTGTTGATATGGTAGTTTTATTTGTCTGTTAATATGGTAGTTTTGTTTTTTTTAAAAAATAGAATGTTGCACCCTTTTGTTTTATAACAGGTGTTATTTACGATATAAAAAATTGTGAATTTAATATGGGTACAAAATTATAACGGGTCATTATTTAACCCTTATCAAATTTATTGTTTTTATAACGGGTATTTAGTACACCGTTATAAATTATAGTGTAAACAAAAGAAGTTTATAGCGGTTAAATGAAAGTACGTTATAAATATTGTATATTTTATAACGGATTAATGAGGAACTGATATAAAATAGTGTAGTATATAACAGGTAAACTAAATATTTATAACGGGTCTATGTTACCTGTTATAGATGGCAGTCAATTTATAACGGTTCAACAACCCTCATAGACCCTCATAGAAAATTCATATTTTCTATAACACCTGAAACTATAACAAACTAAAAACAGTTATAAAAAGCCTTTTTTTACCCGTTATAAAAACAGTATTTTCTAGAGAAAATTACAAATTTTACTGTTACTTTGTTAAATAATATTAATAATACGAAATCATGAAGTTTTAATCATAAATACGATTTTTTTTTTTATTTAATTAAGAGAAGTTTTAATTTTTATAAAAGTAACTACCTACTACTTAATGATGGTTATCCTCTTCCATGATTATCGGGAAGAGTGATATTTTTTATTCTTTCCATATGAAACTTTCAATCAAGAAATTTCTCTCTCATATTTCTCGCTCATCTCTTATCTCTCTTATCTATCTTATCCCTCATACTCAAAAAGACTGCATCATGGCGAAGACGAAGCAAACAAGGCTGAAGAGAAAGAAATTGAGGCAACGTGCAATGATGTCAGCCTCATCTTCTCCCTTTGCCATACGCGTCTTCACAATTTTCAGATATGAAAATTTGCCCATCTCTCTCTCCAAAATCGCCCTTTAATCCCCAGCAAAATCCGATCAACCCTTCATGTCCGACGAGCCACCCGCCGCAAGAGCAGCCCATCGCGAGCAAGCAGGGGTGGTGGTGCCACCGGAGGCGGCGGTAATGTCGACGGGATGTCCACCCGCCGCAAGAGTAGCCCATCGCCAAGAGGATCGCGAGGATGTCGACGAGAGGGGTGCCGAGGCCGACCTTCATGAGGTACTCAACTGAGTTGGGGGACCACCGGGGGGTGGTGCCACCAGAGGCGGCGGTGGATTTTTTTATTATTGTTATTTTTTTGTCATGTTATATGTATATTGGGTTTTGAGAAATGTTTTATATGGTGTTTATATACAATTTTTGTTCTCATGTTACAAGCTTGTTGCAGAATCAAAGATGTTTATATACTGTTTATTTTATGTATATATAAACACTTTTTGTTCTCGTGTTGGTTATTGCATAATAAAAAATATGTTTATATTCTATTTATCTTGTGTATATATACATGTATATATTATGTCAAGGTATGAAAAAATGATCAGGATGAAGTGAAATTTCTGCAACGGATCCAATTGCTATATAGTTGTTTATCTTATGTATAGTTTTTCTATAGACTTGTTTATCTGATGTTTATCTTACGTATAATTTTTTGGTTTTAACATAATATTTTGCAACAAATCTATTGTAAAATCCATCACCTTCTGAATCCTGTCGTCTAATATTTTTGTAGAGAGAGAAGAAATATATCATTGAGAGAGAGAATTAATTTGACAGAAATTAATTAGAGAGAAAGAGAATTAATTGGAGGTTTAATATATGGAGAGAGAGAGAGAGAGGGAGAGAGAGAAATAAAATAACAAGATTAATTAGAGATACGTACAAGCTATTTGTATACATGAAAAAAGATCCCATCAAAATCCTATTTTGATAAAAAGTTATAAAAAACGTATATATGTAAATATTTGATATAGAGGGTCTATACATGTAAATTTCCCTATTTTCTACTAGTACCAACTAGGAAATGATAAATAAAGCATAATAATAAATTAACTAAGATATAAATAATTAAACTAAGGAAGGTGAACAATCATATTTCTCCATAAATCATATTTCTCCATATATGCCAACATCATCTCGTCTCCATCAATTATCCTGCACTTTGTTGGTCTCCCCCACAGTCGGTCCTATTGATCATCATCAGTACACCAATATATATATAATTAATCAATTAATTAATTAATTATAAACCCAATTTTCATGCACAAAACAAAAAAAGAAAAAAAAAATGTTAATTGTTTTTGTTGTTACTACAATACAATGTAACGACTCACATCATGGCTGTAGGTGCGGTAGAGTTTCCATGTCTGCTCTGGACAACGCTTGAGATTGAGGCTGCAGATTTTGAGATTGACCCGTGTTTGGTTGTTGTGGTACCATATGGAGAGAGCTTTTACATAGTCAGGCGGCAGTGCGACCATATGTGGCAAATACCGTAACATGTTATGGCACCACTCGTCCCTGAAAAGCACGGAATACCCGGATTCCAACATCCTCATGCACCTCAGGTAAAACTTTGTATTATCAAAGCTAGGAACATCTTCTTCTTCATCGTTGGCCACCCGTAGCTTGGGTGCGGCATAAAATATCTGAAGGACGACGACGACGACGGCGGCAGAAAATATCAGAAGAAGGACGATGATCATTCGAGCAGAGTAACTCATTGGTAGCTAGTATCGCGCTATTCAATCAAGAATTAAAGCAGCTTAATTAAATAATTTTGATTTTTTGGGTTAGGTTTGTGGCGTGTATTTATTTTATAGGCAAACGGGCTTTATAATAAGATTTCACACTAGTAGTTGTTAATTAGGAAAAGGATTGTTCAGTTACTTAGGATTCTTATTTTTTTATCGTAATTAGAAAAGGAAATAAACGTGCTGCAGATTAATGAGAGATAGAAATAGTTGTTGATTATGAAAAGGATTGTTCATTTAGTTAGGATTCTTTGATTTTTGTTCTAACGAGAGCCCGTGAGATATTTAGTTAGGATTCTTTGATTTTTTTTCATTAATGAGATACGTATAATTTTAAGGTTATTTATCTAACTTTATAATTATATAAATAAATAAAAAAAATGTACGGAATATATATAGTACGGGACATGTGATATATTTATTTAAGGAATATTATATTATAAGATGTAATATTAAATAAAAGTTTTATAATATGCAAGAAAATTATGTACAATAAAATAGTGTTCGATAAAGAAATAATTATATATATATCTATATCTATATAAAAAGTTTTGACATTTACCTATAATATCAACTAAAATCCCGCGTAAATAATTCAATTTTGCCTTTATTAGTAATTTTTAATTTTTTTTTTTATAATTGGCGGTCATAGTTTGAAATTTTAATTTTTAAACATTCGATAAAATCTGTACTAAATTGATTTGGTCAATAATTGCGGCTGAATATGTATAATTGTGGCAACTGCATATTGTTTCAATTGTGTGTGATTGTATGTGAATGTGATATTATTAATACAAACAGAAAAGTAAATGAATAAACTAAGATTGTATGCATGTCTGATATGACAATTACAAAAGAAGTTAAATAAGTAAATATAATTGCTATACTGCCTATACATAATAATTTGGTCCAATCAAAACAAAATATCTTCCAATCCTCGAGATTTCCTTTCCTTTGCCGTAGTAGATCAACCAAAATCTGCATTATTTTATCACAATAAAAAACGTTTGGATTAATATCAATTACAAATTGATTTGTTACATAAACTAGTATGTAACTCGTGCGATGCACGAACTAGTACATGTTTTGAAAAAATTTAAAAAAAATAAAAGGTCGTTAATTAATAAGTTATTATAATACGTATGACATTCATAAACTAAACATAAAAGCGTCATTGGTAAAAAGTTATACATTATAAAAACCTCCTTACATACAACGTATTAGTTTGATTACTGGGTAACTCATCGTCCACACAAACTAATATTTTCAACTTCTTCCTATTAGTAACACGAGAAACAACGACGTATAACTGGCCATGACTAAACACATATTTTTTCAAGAATAGTCCAACATGTGATAAAGACTGACTCTGGCTCATGTTTATGGCCATGATATAGGAAACCATAAGGGGAAATTGCCTCTGCTGGAACTTAAACGGAATCCTAACATCATAAGGAGTTATGTTCATCTGAGGAATCAACACCTTCTCACCTGCGTGATCTCCAGTGCATATCCCACATT